TATCATTGAAATAAAGTTTGTTGTATTTCCTGAATTGGAAAAGGAACTTTTTAAAAAAAGAAATAAAAAAATAATAAAATAAAAGAATCATTACAAATTTTTCAATTTGTCAGTTAATGAAAAGTGTTATGGTATAAATTTAAATAATATAAAATCATTAATTTAAAAATACAATGAGAGAACTACGAAAAAGTATTAATAGTTTTAGTTTCTTTCTGTTCATTTTGAGAACAACATGATGCGAAGACTTTCAAGAACATTTTCTACTACAATAACTTGGAATGGTCAAGAAAGTAATCTTGATGAAATATATTATAAAGCAATAAAAATGAACACTAACACAAGTAGTTCTGAGATTAATATATATACGTTTACTGAACAAATGAAAAAGAAAAATATTACTATATTTAATGAAATGCCATTAATACAATTCTACAAAGTTGAACAAGTAAAATGGGCAATACATAAATTAGACATAAAAAAGAGAACAATCTTTAAAGAGTTAGTAAAGTATATTAATAACTTTAAATTACCAGAATCTATATTTGATGGTATTTTAGTCAATAAACCTGATAGGAATAGTATAAGACTATTAGAGTGTGTATTAAAAAACCCAGAATTATTTGAAAATGAAGGAAAGTTTTATCCTCATTTTAATAACTTAGGAGAGGTAATTGCTATTCCTCCATTAACTGCTTTACAATGTTTATTTAGTAAGTCGTTAGTAAGTCATGAATTTACTCTATCAACCTTATTTATTGTTAGAGAAGTTATTTCTGATAAAGATTTAATAACAATGTTAAATACTGAATTAAAAAATAACAATACAGAAAATACTCTTTTTATCAAAGACAGTATATATCAAATTGCTAATTATTGGATTGAAATATATTCAAAAGTAATGAAAAGTGATGACCTTCAAAGTCTTAAAAATTTCTCAGACGGAATAAGTACTGATGAAATACATATTGACAAAGAAAGAAAAAAAGGTACAAAAACCATTGTTGATGCTAAACCAAAATTAATTAAAGGGCAATCATTAATGAGTCTTAGTATTCCTAATCAACAACTAGAATTATCTGATGCATCAAGTAATTGTTCAGTACAATCTCCAAATCCAGAACCTGAATTTAAAAGTACTGAAGTAGGAACAGAAGATACACCTACTTCTGATGAAAGTGAGAATAAAACTGATGTAACAAATGAAATATTTTCTTTAACAGAAAGTCAGAAACAACCGAAAGTAAGAACAGACTTTTATAGGTTTATAGATATCAAAATATCAAAAATTGCAGAACAATTTTTTGTTTATGACGTAAAATTAATCAAAGAATTAACGATGGGAGACGTCATTCTTCAAACAAAATCATTTACAAATTACTTATCAAGAATAAATGCAATTGATAGAATGGTAAATTCATTCATTGATAAAGAGAGAAATCCACAAGTTTTTTCATATTTTATAAAAGTTGCAAGACATTGTTTAAAAATTGGTGAATATAATATTTCTTATATTATTTCCTGTTCTTTAAAAAATAAAAGTACTACATATAAACAGGCATTTGAAAAGAATTCAGCTCTTACAAAATATAAAGATCTTGAAGAAATATTTCCACTTCATAATCTTGAACCTTATAAAGAAAAGTTTAGAAAATGTAAATGTGCAAAAATTCCTATAATGCGTTTGTTATTTTCTTTTATATTATTAAAATGAATATAAAAAAATAATTTAATAGAGTCTCATGTCTCTGCTTATATCGATAGAGCTAATGTATTCAAATTAAAAGATATTGATGATGAAAAATTACTTAGTACTAACTTTGTTCAAAAATTAAATTCATTAAGTCTTCCACTGATGTCTATTTATACTGCTCTTAGATATGTTCTTCAATACAAACCAATAGAATCAGTTCAAGAATATTTTAAACATCTTAATTTTTAAAATTACAAAATAATAACTTTTTTATTTTTATTTATAAAATATTTGTTAGAGTTATATGTTTTTTCTAATAGAATAATATTTTATTAATGTCTCAACATATTATGTCTCTCATAATAATTTAATTTTATTATACTAAATTTATAGAATATATATTATATTATTTAATTAAAATATTCTTTCTCTTTCTTCATTTTCTATTAAATAAAATATGAAATAACTAATTATTAAATATTTTAATATTTTAGAAAATATTAATCATAAAATAATTATTTGATAAAAGTTCAATTAAACCAATTTAAATAGAAACTTGAACTCTGAAGAAGTCACCTGGTTCACCACAAAGTGGACATACTTTTGGTGGTTGAGTACTTTCAAAGATATATCCACATTCTCTACAAACCCAAAAGACTTTTTCAGTTTTCTTGTAAAGGGAATTAGCTTTTAATTCATCAAGAATCTTTTGATAATTGTTATGATGATTAAGTTCAGCTTTAGCAATAAGGTTAAGTCTAGCAGCAATTTGAGCATGTCCTTCTTCTTTAGCTACTTTAGCAAATTCTGGATACATAGTTTCATGTTCATAAGTTTCACCAGCAATAGCAGCTAATAAGTTATCAGCAGTAGTACCAAAATCAATTGGAACAGCAGTTTCAATTTTTGGAGTTTCTTGTCCTTCTTTTTTAAGTGATTGAATCATTTCAAAAAGAATTCTAGCGTGGGTTCCTTCTTGATTAGCTGTTTCATTGAAGAGTTGTGCAATTACATCAAGACCTTCTTTTTTAGCAGTTTTAGCATAGATTAAATATCTATTTCTTGCTTGAGATTCTCCAGCAAAAGCCTTACAAAGATTAATGAGAGTTGCCATTTTGAAATACTTAAATTAACTGAAATATTGAAGTTCAAAAATATTTAAATAATAAAAAACTCAACGAAAATAGTTTCTATTTTTTATTGCTTCTCCACATAACTTTCTTAGTAAGAAGGTTCAGTTTTGTTAGTTAATTTGTTGTAGTGATGGAGTTGATAGAAGTATTTCTTTCTTTTTTCTTTTTATTTTTATTCTTACTATAAATTTACTTCTTTTCATAAGTCTTTTTGTCTCCTAAAATAAAATTTTTAAAACGACAAATCTAAATATAAAATTTTTAAGATAAAAACATCAAAAATAATATAAAAAAATTAAAAGAAAAAATATCAAAATTAAGAAAATGATCCTGAGATTTGCTGATGAAGCTTTACCTGATAATCATATTAATTTGTTTCATTTTATTAGAGATGGAAAAATAGAAGAGATTCAAAAGATGATTGATACAGACCCTATTACTTGTAAAGCATATGTAGATGATGACCAAAGAACATTATTACATTGTGCTTGTGAATTACAAAGTTATTCTTTAGTTGAAAAAGTTCTTCAAATTTGTGATAATAAAAATCCTGTTGACGAAATGTTATTTACTCCATTACTTGTTAGTGTTGCAGGTGCTTCAATGAACAATGAACTTGATGAGTCTTATAAAATTATTCAATACCTAATTGAACATGGAGCAGATATTACATTATCAAATAAAAGAAAAGCTAATGTCTATCATTTTGCTTGTAGTAGAGGAAGAAAAGACTTAGTTGAATTATTTTTGAGTAAATGGAAAGAAGGAGCTTCTTCTCGGGATAAATATGGTAATACCCCTTTACACCGAGCTGTGGCTAGTGGAAATATTGAATGTACAAAACTAATTGCAAAGAAGACCCATACTATTATCGCTCAAAACTCTATGAAAAAGACTCCATTGCATATTGCTTGTGAAGAACAAAATATCCCTATGATAAAGGCTGTAATTGATCTTGGTGGAGATGCTGATATTGTAGATGAAGATGGTAAATTCCCATTTGAATTTATCAGTGATAGAACAGCATTCAAAGAGGTTTGTGAATATTATAAAGCAAGCAAAAAACATTGATTATTATAATTGAATTAAATTATTTATAACTGTTTTACAATTCATAGCCTCTTCTAACAACATTGGTAATTGGCTTGGACTTTTCATTGAATAAACATTCTCAGCAAGTCTATCAATAGTTATTTCAAGTACGTTTTGACGAAAAACAAATAAGTCTGGTGATAAATCTTCTTTTGGTAAGAAGAAGACTTTAACATATGAGTATTGAAGAGCTCGTATTCCGTCTTCAATAATTGAACAAATAGAATTCATTATTTCAACATCATTTAAGTTTTTTGTTTTAGAAAATAATTTTCTTTTATTTTCAACTTCTTCATGAAATAGTCTTATTTGAACTTTATGATTCATAAACCGTTCAAAATAATATTGATACCTTTCACTCTCTTCTTTTGTTTGTTCAGTAGCTTCATCTAATTTCTTTGCTTTAGATGTTTCATATAAATTACATTTATAGAAACCACCAGTTTTTGTCCCATGAGTCTTCCAATCTCCTCGACACATCCAACACCATTCCCCATGACATCTAGGACAAGTCATATGATTACATCCTTTAGTTCTCTCAGTCATTAACCCACAATGAAAACAAGGTTTGGATATTGACTCAATCATTCTCAGACTTTCAGAGTCTTCTTGGTATAAACTTTCCCATTCACTAAGTTCTTTACATGAAGCAGGTTCATGTCTTTCTTTTCCACATCCAAAACAAAATTCATGTCCACAATAACAACTAACTTTAAAAAGTGGTTTTCCTGTTTTGATAACATGAATAATTCGTTTACAATCAATTCCACAACATTTTTGGTATTGATGATTACGCTCTAAATAATTTTGAACAATCATTTTTTTGAATTTTTTAATATTGTTTTTGTTGCAATAAGATAATACAAATTGAAGAGAAAGATGTTGTTCACAGTCACTCTGCATACACCTATAACTATTATAAGACAATGTACCATTCATAAGAAGGTATTCATTCCAGCACTTTAAACAAAACTTGTGACCACAACGTTCACCAACCAACATTCCATCTTCATAACAGACTGGACATGTTCCTTCTGTAATAAATGATTTATAACTTTGGTTTTGTTTACTTTTATTACTTGTTTCATTAGAAAGAATTCTTGTTGATGCTTCATCAAGGTCTACATCATATATTTCAACATATTCATTAATTTTACTTAAAAATAATTCATAAATATCTTCTTCTGTTAGTATTTCAAATTTTGGGTTACTGGTCATTTCATAAGACCATTTATTTATTATATCTTGTTCATCATCGGAATCAGTTTCTCCATTCATTTTCTGTTCAACCTCATTTGTTTCTTTTGGCTCATTATTTTTTTCTTTTGGTTCAAAAGACAATGGTTCTAATGAAATGTAGGTTGGTTTGGATATTGGTTTTTTGATGGGCTGAAGACTCTTTTTTTCTTCCCTCTTTTTACGTTCATCTTCGATACTTTGCATTGCCAATGCATTTTGAACTGCTGAATCAACATTCCAATTAGAACGTATTAATGAGTTTGTAGCAATAACAACTGAAAATCCCATTTGGACAACTGTTGAAATCAGTTTGACTTTCTTGCCTTTGAACCTTTGTATAATTTGGTTGTTATTAATAGTTGAACACACAGCACATGGATGATGTTCAAGGTGACAATGCTTACAAATAATAAAGGCACCACAATTATTACAAATATACGCTTTGTTGAATATGCCAATACTTCTTCTATTACATAAATATGAAACTATGTCACGTTAAAGAAAACGCAATGAACAAACAAGCAATCCTCACAATTTATTGTTTTATTAAGAAAGATTTTCTTAAAATTTTCCATTATTTAGCTATTTTTTTCTTGTCTCTTCCTTTTTCTTCTTTTCTTTCTTTGTCTTTTCATATTGAATCTCTTTTTCAAAAACTGGATAATTAAATCTTAATAATCTAACTTTTCATGCAAAATTACTTCTCTTCAGACTTTCCTTTTGACTCGTCACTCTCAGGTAATTCTCAATCAAACAACTTCTTCTCTCAACAACACCAAGAATTTAATGACCTTTCTTCGAATGAATTTTCTTCACAGTCATCAAACAATTTTCCTGTGACATTCCAAAACGACTTTTCTCAATTTTCAAATTTTGACCCTCAAGTTAATCAACAGTCAACCCAACAAAATGTTTTATCAAAAGGTCCTGCAAAATTTAAATTTGAACCACCACCTTCTACAACTAAAAGAGGATGTGCTGATATAAAACCTCCAACGACAAACTCCTCTTCTCTCAATCCTGTTTCACAACAACAAACCCAAGTCCAACCACCGTCTTCAGAAAACCAAAAAACTGAAGACGTGCCACAACCAATACAACCCCAAGTCAAAAAACAATCTGCTAATGATCATTATAGTCTTTTAAGAGAAATTGCTGCTGAGACACTAACCTCAAACAATCTTGTTCAAACTGAATCTTCAGCACAACATACAGAGCAACAACCATTTGAATTTAATAATCAACAACAACTTAATGTATTTTCTAATGACTTCTCTTTTGATCAACAAACAGGACAACCATCACAAGAAACAATGGAGTATCAGGCTGTTGAACAACAATTAAAGTCTCAGAAATCTGAAGAACCTAAAGTTGAAATTATGCCTCAAGTAACACAACCTCTTAAAACCACTAAATTCATACCACCACCAAAAACATTACCACCAAGTGAAGGTGAAACGAAAACACAAGTACCTGTAGAGCAAAAAACTAATGACAATACTCAGTTTGCTTTTAGTTCTTTTGAAAATGCCTTTTCAGGAGATTTTTCATTTGACACTCCAATCGAGTCTCATAAGGAAGAAATTCAATTTGAACAAAAGCCAATAGAGTCTAATGCACCTGTAATGGCACAAGAAGAAAAGAAAGAAGTAATCACAGAAAATAAGCCATTTGATATGATGAATTTTAATGAGGATGAAAAGAGAGAAGAACTTAATCAAGCTAAACAGAAAAAAGAAGAGTTACAAGAGGAAAAAAGTCGTTTAGAAAAGGAAATTCAAGAATCTTCTCAAGACATAAAGGAGATTGACAACATAAAAGAACTTCAAAGTGAAAATGAACAGCTTCAAAGAGAAATTAATGAGATGAAAAAACAAATTCAAAGCATAAAAGAAGAAAAAAGCAAACGAGACGAAGAAACCACTCGACTTATAAAAGAGAATAATGAAATGAAAAAACAAATTAATGATTTAAAACAAAAACTAAGAGACATGAAGGAAAAAGAAGAAGTTGAAAAGAAAGATAATGAAACCAAAAAACAAGAAAATACTGAACTTAAAGAATATTCAAATGAAGGACAACGTCTTGTTCAAGTAAAAGCAATGGGTGGTATTGTGGAAGACCAAGAAATTGATTCATTCATTTCACATGAAATAAAATCAGAAGAAGAAATATATAATAGAACAAGTGAGGTGATAGAAGAAAAGAAGCAACCAGAAGAAAATCCTTCACAAGAAATTATTGATCAAATAAAACAAATGTTAAGCGATGGATCATATAAGCTAGGTCCATTTCTTAGCAGTTTGTTTACAGTTCAAGATGAAGACTTTGAAGATGATAGAAATGAGTTTCCAATGCTTCCATTTGCTTTACTTTAAATAAAAAACTTGAATGAAATAACAACAATCATAAAATATAAAAATATTTTTTAACTAATGTTTTTATTATTTTTACTAATTTTAAAAGAAAAAAACTGACTTTATTTTGATAGAAAGTTTTTGACATGACATCGTTGTTTAATTCTTTTTTATATTATGGAGGAAGATGTACCCAAGGGGTTTTACTCGTTGTTGCTTTGTATTTATTTATTTTGCTTGTTTTCATTCATACAACTCAAGTGATACCATTATATTATTTACAATACCCTTTAGTTGTTTCGATTGTGTTAACTTTATTATCTTTGTACTTAATTTCATTTTTTGTCATTATGTATATTCGAACTGTGTTTACCAAACACTTAGATACAGTTCCAACATCAAAACTTTGTGAATACTTTGATGGTGACTTAGTAAATTCTCCTTATATAAGTTGTGAAACTTGTCAATGTCTAAAACCGTTCAGATGTCATCATTGTCAAATTTGTGATTGTTGTATTTATCGAATGGACCATCATTGTATTTGGGTAGGTCAATGTATAGGAATTCACAACATTAGGTTTTTCTTTTTGTTTATAAGTTCATTATCCTTGTCATTATTACTTGGTGCAATAACAACATATCCATTACCTTTTTCTACTTCAATTAAATTACTATTTACTTTTGAATGTGTATTAGGAAGTGCATTGTTTATTTTTGCTTTTGGACATTTTTTGATGATAATAACAAATCAAACATCATTAGAAATAAGTTCAAATATAATAGACTATATCCATCAGCCATCTCATCTTCGTAGATTTATTACTCCTTATGATTTAGGAATATTGACCAACATACATCAAATATTACGATTTTCATCTTATTGGGAATTGTTTAATCCTTTTTCAAAACAAGTACCATGTGATCCAATGAAAGTAATTGTATCAAGAGAATATATGATGTACTGTGACTGTCTAAGTGAAGAAAATGAACAGAACCAATAAAATGAAATGTAAGATTCAATATAAAATTGTTGAATGAAATGAATTGTTTTTGTAAAGATAAAGAAGTTTATTATATTATTTTCTTCTTTTTTATACTGAGGGAGCTGAAAGTGATAATGGAGTAATATTAGAATATCTAGGAGAAGAGACTTGTCTTCCCTTTCTTATATAAGCAATAATACGAGAACATTCCTTTTTTTTAATAACAAATCGTTCATCATTCATTTCTATATACTCACCTTCACATATTTCATTGTAATGTTCAAAAACTTCACAAAATCCTTTATCTATTAAATAGACTTCTTTATAAATAAGATATGGGTTACAACTGTGTTGATCAGTTCTTCTGAAATGTCGTGCTAATGCAGGTGCTCTTGTTCCAGAAAATTCACAATAAAAAAGTAAAATTGATGGACTTTGAGGTACATCTTTTTCTATTGGAAAATGGTTTAATAAAAGATCTTCATTCCAAAGATTCAAAGCACCTTTGATATGCCCTGCATTATATTCGTAGGGATATCTACAATCAATAATTTCAACAGAAACATGGTCTTTTATTACTTGTTTAAGTGTAGATAGATCAATTGTTCTTACTCCTATTAATGTTTGTTCTGAAGGAAGAACTGTATCACAAACTCTTTGACTTTCATCATATGATATAACATCTGGAGAATTTGGGGATAAACAAAACTCATCAAGAGTTAGTCTTCTATGACGATTTTTCATCATTATCCATGGCTCAGGTGTTTTGCAAATTTTTGGTGGCAAAGAAATTTCAACGTCAGAAAATGGCGAGAAAGAAGAACGGAATGACTCACACCTTGGAGTTATTGATTTAATATCTAACGTTTGACTTTTCATAGAAGTAATGAATGAAGTACTAACTAGGCTTTTCTGAGTCATAATAGCCCAAGTATATTTATAACTTTATTTTTTAGTACTCTTATAGTATTATTATTTTCAAACGTTTTTAATATGTTCATTAAATTTTTCTCAAGTTAGTAGTCTTAGACAAAAAGAACTTTTCTCATACTGTTTCTACATAATTATTATTGCCAGACAAACAACTTTCTTCAAAAATTTTTTCAAAATACCATAAAATCTTTTTTTAGTAGTTTACAAAAAAAAACATAAAGGAGTTGTTGTGATTATTATTGCTTAGTTGTCTAATTTGGTTTTGTTTATGTTAGAAGAGATGGATTGAATAGAATATTATAAAAAAAAAGATATAATAAGAGGTATTTTTATCCTCGCATATGAATAACACTTTTATTTTTCTGAGCATAATAATAAATAATATATGATTGGTTGTATAGAATTTGCCTATGATAGGTATTTAGTTGGAAGAAAAGATTCAGGAAACAACAATTTTAATAAAAAAGGATTAAGAGATTTTAATGAGTTAAAATAAACAATTAATTAAGTTTGTATTGATAAAAGTTCTTTCTTCTTCTATTTAAAATTGAGCCAATTTCCTTTTCTTGAAGAAGGATAATTAATCATGGTAGCATTTCTTCTTATTGTAGCTTCTCTTTTACAAAGTCTATGTGGGTCTAAGAAATCTAAATAATCCATGTCGTCCATGGGTTCAACTGGTTTATTTAATTCGTCATTATCATAACTTTGACCTAAACTATTTCTAATTTTATTTTCAAAGTCTACTTCTTCTGTATCACTACTTTCATTTTCTGATTTTACAGCACCAACAATTTTTATTGGGGAATTAGTTGGCATAAACATTTTAGTTGATTTATTTATTTGGTCATTAATTTTTATACTGTCACCAGTACTTGCACTACCTGTTTTTATATCAGGGGTTGTAAGTAATATATGTGGATCTTCTTCTTCTTTTGTTTCAGGTTGTTGTAATTGGTTAATTGGTATAAGTTTTTCTTCATCACTTTTTGCTGAGGTAGATCTTGGAACCATTAAAGAATAACCACCTTTTTTTCCACCACTCCTTGCTCTTGGTTTTAGTAAATTACTAGCGCTGTGTTTTAATGATGGATTCTTATAAACAATACCAAGCCTAGACTTTGACCCTGATCTAGTTATGTTTCTATCAGTTACAGGTGATTTGATATTAGAAGTTGGTAGAATTTCTTCTTTTCTTTTAGTTGTTATTGACTGAACCAATGTACTAATCATTTCATTAATTTGTGAAAATCCAGGTCGTCGTTCAGGTTTTTGACGCCAACACTGTTTTATAATTTCTCTATAAACACAATCTTTTGGTATTCCAATTCTTTTTCCTGAACAAACAAAGTTTAATACACTATCACCGTCATGAAATTCAATAAGTGGATAAGGGTCATGAGTTAACCATATTTCTAACATACAAATAGCAAATGAAAAAACATCAGATTTTAATGTTAATTTTCCTGTTCTATGTACTTCAGGAGCCATATACATTGGTGTACCAACATCACGAATAGTAATAGTATTAGAAGATTCAATAAATGCTTGTGAAGTTCCAAAATCACTAACTTTACAAACAACAGGATCATATGGATTTTTAGAATATACTAAAACATTATCAGTTTTTAAGTCATGGTGAATGATATCGTTTTGATGAAGATAACCCATCCCAATAGCTATATCTTGACATATTCTTACTTTCATTAATGTAGTCATTTTATTTAATTTCATATATTTTCTTAAAGACCCCAATGTACAAAATTCTGTAACAATACATAAAGTATCTGGAGTAACAATAGTTCCAATAAAATTTACAATATTTTGACATCTCAGTCTTTCCATTAATTCTGCTTCTTGTTCAAAATTAGGCATTAAATCTTTTAAATCAACCATATCAGTTTTTAATACTTTAACAGCAATTTCTATTTTCCTCCATTTAGCTCTATAAACAATTCCAAATGTTCCTGCTCCAACTGGTGGTTGTTCTAATCTAACTTCTTCATAATCTAATTTAGTAGATACTGCGGATTCTGCATTAAGATTTAAATAAGTATAAATTCTTGTTATTTTTTTTTCATCATTACTTTCACTCGATTCTACTTCATCGTCATCATCCACTTCATCTTCTGAATGTTCTGTTTTTTCTGAAAGATTTAGAATGTCTTCATCTTCCATAGAGTGACGTACAATTTTCCAATTTCCCCATTCCAATGTAATGGGTATTTTTTTATTATTAATTATTGTTGTACATCGAATAAGAATTTTAACTTTAATTACAACAGTTTGTCCTCCACGAATATTTCCTACAGACGGTTCAAAGACTAACTCATATTTATATTCTTCATGACCATGTAATATAAAGCTTAATGTTTCTTTTCTACAATTAGTAATACAGATTTTTGTTCTTGCAACTTCATCTACATCCGGTCTTATTGTAGAATCATTAAATGTAACTGATGGTGGATTAAAAACAACATAATTATGAAGTGATTCAAGTGGAATATATCTTTTTCCTTCTTTATTAAATGGAATAATTGTACCACAAATCAATCCTTCTTTTGTATTTTTCATAACTTTAGATATTTTATTAGATTTAATTAACGTTACAACTAATACTATAAAGTAATACAATGCATAAATTCCTACAAAACATGAAACAAAAATTATGTTGTTTAAATATTTATATTCACATGATACTTTTCCATTTGGTTTATATCTCCTAGTACATTTACATCGTTTATCACAACCTGATCCACCATCACATTCTTCTCCAGGGTCAAGACGATAATTTCCACAATAGTTCCTAACACAACTTCCATTAACATAATAATATTCTTCTATACACTTACATTGGTTATTACAAAATGGTTGATTTAATTCACATTCTTCTCCATCATCTAATACTCCATTTCCACATTTTGTACATTCTCCATTAATTGATACAAAATTCTTTTCACATAAACATTCTTGAAACTTTGAACTACATACTCCACCAATACATCCTACACAAGAAACAGTTATTTGAAGTGAATCTCCACTCACAAAAATTAATGTTTCTTCATTATAACGAAACATAACAGATAGGGATGTTAAATTAGAATACATTCCAATACATGAATGTTGTGTTTGTAATGAGAGAATAACATCACTCCCAGTTGTTTGAATTTGATACGAAACAGTTTTATTTCCAACAAATCGAAACCAATGACCAAGAATATTATGATTATAACATAATGTATTACCATAATAATTCTTTCTTATTTGATTATATTGAGTTTGATTATTAAAATCAAATAATGAAGCGAAAGAATAAAGGTCAGTTCTTTGAATAGTTAATTGAGTTGACATCAATCCTGATAAAAAAAGAACATACTCTTTTTTCTCTAATAAAATATAAAAAGGATGCTCAGTATCAAATACTTGTACACAACTTGAACATGAATTTTGAATACTTATTTGTAATAGAGAATTTGAACTAAATGAATAAAGATTATTCTCTGAATAAAGTACATAATAATATCCTTTAGTTTGTTGAATTAAATAAGGTAATGTATTAAAGCAAGGAGTTTCTACAAAATAAATTATGTCTGGAAAAGTTAAAGTTAAGAAATTATTAATGACAAATTTTGATGGAAAAGACGTCAAAAAAGATTCACACGTTTTTGGTTGATTTACTATCTTTTCACATCTCATTCCGAAAGGATAATAGCCAGTTTGACATCCACCACAAGAAATAAGCATTCCTGCCTTTTTATCACATATTTCACATTGTCCATAGATACAGCTCAAACAAAAATCATTGCATGGATATCCTGTTGAAACTAAAACGATTAGTGCAAAACATATGGGCAGTAGTTTATGGTGTTGCATTTGAATCAAATCAATTTGTTTTCAAATAGATTTTCTTTCTTTTTCTTCTGTCTGATAATTTTGGTTTACTAAAATCCTTTTTTAAATTAACCAGAAAAAAATTGTTCAAGTTTTAATGATTTTTTTTAAAATGAAAAACATTTTTACATTTCTCATATTGTAATATATTCTATTTATTTTTATTTTAAGTAACTCAAAACATTGTCTTTTTTTAAGTTGACCATTTATTAAAATTAATCTTTTACTACAATAACCATTTAATTATTTGAATGACTAGGAAATAACTAGGAAATATGAATTAGAAAATATTAATTACTTTTGTATAACACCTCTTATACCTAAAAAAGTAGGAAATTTTAACACTAACCAAAAACATTTAATAATAGATAATAAACAATTCAATTAAAAATATATAGAAATATTTAAATTATATCTTTGTATAAAAATTATTTATCCTTTAATGAGAATTTACTAAAAATAAACTATTCTAATAGCAAAAATTTATCAGATAATGTAACTAATAACTAACAAAAATAAACAGCAACGTTATGTAAGTACTGTCAGATTCGTATTTTATGTTCATATAAAGAAGGAAAAAAAAAACAAATACTTTTTGATACAATAGATTAACCATAAAAACAATTAAATAAACTACCATATTTATTGTAATTGAAAAAAAGTAACTAGAATAGGTCAAAACTATAGCAACAAATAATAATTTTTTTATTAAAAAAAGGATTTTAAATATGAAAAATGTTTCGGTATTTAGACAAAAAGGTTGTATATAAGAAATTAGATATGAAGAAGATTAAAATTGAAATTAGTTAACCAAAAAAAAAAATAATTATTTATATATAAATTATAAAAAATAATAAAACTAAAGTTATGAAGCACCCTTTGATTATAAAATGAAAACGAATTTTTTTATCTTTCAAAGAAAAATATGATTCTATTATTATTATCAAAAAAAAAAGAAATTTGACTTTTCTTATTAATATTTCTTCCACAATTTCAAATATAAAAATGAAAAAAAATGATAGAAATTAGTTTCATTAAAAAAAGTAAAATTATACTTCATTTAATTTAAAGTTTATTAAAAGCTTTAATTCCAGCTTGTTTAGCTTCATTGATTCGACTTTGATTTTTGTTTTCTTCTCTTTGTGTACCAGATAGATAAACTCCTTGATACTTAGCTCCATATGACTCAACAAATGATTGAACAGGATAAGCAGCTCGTTCACAAATACTTTTACCTTCTTCTGCTGAATTTGAAATACAAACAAATAATTTTTTAGAGAAATTATCTTTTAAACTGGGTTTGATTCCATATGTTTTCATATCAAATAAACAAACAGTTCTATCAACAAAGTTTTTAATTTCTCCTGGAATGGCATACCAATAAACTGGATATGCAAAAATAACAATATCAGAATCTACAACTTCTTGCATAATTTCTTCAAATCCATCTTTTATAACACAATAAAAACTTTCCTTTGGTGAACAAGCATAACATCCTGTACATCCATCTAATTTTTTTTGAGCAAGATTAATAATTTTACTTTCAACTTGTGTTTTAGAAGATAATCCTTCAAGAAATGCTTTTGCATAAAGACTACTATTCGAGTTTTCTCTATAACTTCCAAGAAGAACAAGTACTTTAACAACCATTCAAGTGATGATGAAACTTAAGATTCAAAGTCTTTTAAATATTACGAAAAAAAAAAAAGAAAAGTTTAAAAAAAAGAATTTTCATTATTTTCGTTCTTTTCATATTTTTAGATTTATTATGTGATATAAATAAAAATAATAAGAAAACAAGTATAAATTATAATAATTCATTAGTATTTTCTTGTAACTTTTCTGAAATTTCTTGTTGTGGTTGTTCTGAATTAGGTTCAGTCACTTGAACTTGTTCAAGTTTAGTTGTTTCAATAGGAGATGGTTCTTCATTATTTTCACTAAGAGAAGTTGGGTCAGCACGTTTAGCTTGTCTTTTATTGTTAATAAAATAACCAATATGATAAATAATGGCTGTTGTAGTTAATGTTATTAACATAACAACAACAATAAAATACATTGGTGCAAATACCCCAAATGCATTAGATAAAAGCCCTGCAATTAAAGGTAAAATTGCATTAGACATAGATGCAACACTTTCGCTTACTCCTACAAATAAACTCTTTGATTTTTCACTTGCTCTGAGAGAATAATAAGTTGATGTTTGATAACTAAATCCAGCAGCTAATCCAGCAATAAAAGACATAGCAAAAATAATATACGGATTAAATACAACAACTAATAATAATGAAAATACTAAGAAAATAGCTTGAGCAAGTAAACATAATGATCTATGATAAGTCCATTTATCAGTAAAACTCATAATACCAAACATAATTGTTTGTGCAAAGTACATAATGAAAAAATTGAATGAAACAAAGTTATCTTCAGGACTTCCTTTCATAGGAATTCCTATTGATTTTTCATCAGCAATTTTAATATATTGATTAGTAATAACACATGATGCTCCAAATAATCCTAATTGCATAATATATCCTAAATAAATATATGTTTTATTTTTTAATTGTTTATCATTCCATTTTACTTTTATTTTAATATTTGCCTCATTAACAACTTCATTAGGAATTACTACATCATCTTTTTCTTCTTGATTTATTTGTTCTTTTTTCATTTGTGATTCTTCAATTTCTTGTTGTAATGATGGACTTACATTTACCTTGACATCATTTGCCTCTTTTTCTTTATTCATTTCAACAGCATTCTTTAACATTTTCTTTTCTTCTTTCTCCTTTTTAATTTTTTCTCTTAACCATTTAACATGTCTGTATGGATAAACAATCATAATAACAACATTAATTCCAATAGCAATATATAATGATGTACTCGCACCAAGTGCTGATTTTAAAAAACCTCCAGCTGCATATCCAATAGCTTTACCAAATGACCATGATACAGCAAATAAACCAGAATCCCTTGCCTCATGTCCTATACCAGCTTCTTTACCTATTGTACCTACAGCAGCTGGCCAAAAAGTTAAAGCAGAAAATGCCCAAAAGGCAGCTGAGAAATAAAATCCAATTTTACTAGTTGGCCATATAGCAACTATTACTTCACCAATAGTTAAGAACACCATTGATAGTCTAAGGACAATAAATGGATTTAATTTATCTGCTAATTTACCACCGAAAGGTGCTAATGATGCATAAATCAAAAAGCATACAGTTTGGAGCAATGCTAATTGAATTGCTGAGGCTCCTTGCTCATTAAATAATAATGGAACTACAATCCAGTAAAAATAGCAAGAAGTATTATATAAAAATGCAACTAACAAATGTCGTGGTAAGTTACTAAAAGGAAATAATAAAAACTTTAAGCATTTATTCATCTCCAATATACAACCCAACTCCTTTTATAGTTCTTCTGTCAGATCTAAAACTCTCAGTATTACCAATAAATTATTCAATTTTTTCTTTTGAAAAAAAAAATAACAGAAGGTTATCGATTAGAAATGTGCAAGAAACTGCATTCGGTTTCATTCTCAATCACGTTGATGATATTCTTATTGAAATAGTTTTTTCTATTTTTTTCTTCTCTATTCTTTTTTTTTTTTTCTTAAAAAAACAAATAATCTCAATATTTCACAACTTGTCAAAATATAATTAAATCATTTTCTGTTATATAAGAAAAACAAAAAACAAAATTAACAAAAATCTTTTCCTGCAAAAATTAATTAAAGAACTCAGAATAAAAGAACTCCAACGAAGAACTTAAAAATAGAAAGAACCAAAAGAAATGAGTCAACCACCAATTCCTGCAAAAAGAAAGGCTTCAGAAAAAGACCCAAAAGCTACATTCACAAAGCCTTCAAGACTAATTGCTGCAGCAAAAGCTGGAGAAGATGAATTAATTAGAGAATATATGGAGGATCCAACTAAAAAAATTGATATTAATAAAGTTGATTCACTTGGACAATCTTCTATGCATTGGGCTGCACATTCTGGATATCCAAATACCATTGAAACATTAGTACATTATGGTGGTAATGTTAATCTTCAAGACAAGACAGGAGAAACTCCATTACATAAAGCTGCTTGGAGAGACAAAGTACAAACAATTGCAAAATTAATTTCACTTGGAGCAGATATTACTATTAAGAATGATAAAGGAGAAACTCCATTTATGGTTGCTAAAAGTCTTGAAGCAAAGAAACTTTTATACATTCCAACAGTTAGCCTTGATGAAGATTGTGAAGATTCACGTGATTCAGATGATGATTAAACTTACTTTTTTATCATCCATTCAATTTATTTTTTTTCAACTTCAGACTGATATTTTTTATTTATTTTTTCTTTATGAAAAGAAATAGAAAGAGTTAAACATAAATTAAATATAATAATTAGTAATAATTACATAATACTTGATGAAACATTTACTTTAATATTTTATCAGTTTATTAGTTAATTGGTATTATATTTGGTATATATTGAAGTATTGAATCAATTGGAATAGTTAAAGGGATAAGCCATAAATTTACTTTAATAGCATTCTCAAATATTTCTTTATGAATTGCATCAAGAAAAGCAACAGTACTTTTATCTTTTAAAGAAATAGACCAATGACTTGTCCCATCAAAAATACTAATTTGATCTATTTTTCTAATTGAAGGAATAGAAGTATTAACAGTAATAGCTTTTGTTGATTTTTTCTCTGTAGCAGTAACAAATTTCATAGAAAGAATGCAATCAACAAGAATGTTATTTGATTGAGTTTTGATGTATTGAGTAATTCTTCTTTCCATATCTTTTTTTCCTTCACCAACTTTTAGTCTAATTGCTTCATTTCTTAGTTCGTCATAACAAAATACAATATTCCCAAAAGGATCAATACATTTAGAAATATGGATAAATGGTAACACAGTATGAATATTAAATTTTTTTGGTTTAACAAAAACAAAAGAAAATCCCCAGTTATTTAATAAACTGATATAAAGAATTTCTCTTAAATTCTCTAAATGAACAGAATTATATTTTCTCATTTTCTCTTGTTCATTTTTGTTTAATTTTGGACTTACTGAAGTAACGGGATGTAATGAATTATCCATTTCGTGATGAAGTAAACTATGAATTTAAACCCTTTTATACTCCTTGTTTTGAAGTCATCTAAAATAGAACAATTAAAAAAATAATATTATTTTATTATTCTTTTTACTATTATAAAATTAAATACTTCAAACCCTTTAAATATAGTTTTTTTATTAATTTATTTATTAATATTTAGTGTTCTATATTTGAAACCTTCATTATATTTTTAAGTTCATATAAAAGTATTATATTTAATATTATAATAAACTATATTAAGTTTTATTTTGATACATCTTTATCTATAAAATGAAATTATGTTATTAGATTTTATTAAGTTTTAACTCTTTTTTATTCAAATTTAAAAAATTTTTGTTATTTCACAAAAAATTAATTACATCCATTGAACCACTAACACTTTTTCCATTACATTTTCATCTTTAATAAAAAGAGTATCTCCAGCAAGTGAAGGGTCTGTATATCGTTGACTAAATTTCATTCCCATTTCAACAACAAAAACCCTTCCTTTTTTTATTACATTCATTGTTTTTTTTAATGAAATAAATATATGCTCATCTGGATGAATAGCACATGACTTACATTTCTTTTTTATAGGATAAAATGGAGTTGGAGCAATATTAAAAGGATTTTGAAGTGTAAAAACAAAATGTCCAGGATCGTTTTTGATAAATCCATAAGATGGTATTTTTTTCGTATTATACCACCCAAAAATATTTAACCTTTTACCTACAAGTAATATCATAATATTAGTCAGTCCTGTGAACTCTATTGGAAATTCATCTTTGGCTGAATCATAAATAACTTGATATTGAGATTTACCTGTCCATTTTTTGAAATCATCGAGATATGATTTAATTAAATAGTCACTATCAACACATCTCATATACTCACTTTTCTTTTCTTTAAAAGTCCTAATCCTTGCTAAATCATTTTCTCTTCGTATCCTATTCTCTGTCTCCATTTTAAATAATCTATCTTGGTCTAACATAACTTCTTCGACTAAAGAAGTATTACTTGGTTGTGGCGGAACAACTAAAATAGGAACTACATCCTTTTTATTCGATGTATTTGATCGTTGACGAGATATTTTAGATAAAGCATCTGCAGCTTTAAATTTACCATAATATCTTGGGGTAAACAAAATTCCTTCTTTTTCTATTTCTTTTGGACTTAATTCAATAGAATTATTTTCAGTTTGTTGTGAAATAGAGGATAGAGAAGTCCCACGTTTTCTTGGTGAATCAATAAATGATTTTTCTTGATAACTGTAAGATAATTGTGTTGGTTTATAAAACTCAATTTTATTAATTCTACGTTTTTGTGAAGATTCAATTGATGGATTGGGTTCTATTATTATTGGTTCAGTTGTTGGATGAGCTTTAACAACTATTTTGTTTTCATTTAATTCATCTTGACTTTCATCTAAGACTTTATTTACTTCTATTAAACTAGAAATTTCTTTTTTATTTTGTTTTTGTTCAGACAGAGTAAATATACTTTGGTTGATTATCTCTGTTGTTTGTTGTTCTGTTTCAATATCATTTTTGCTTTGATTATTGTTTTCTATAATTTGTTTATTTTCTATAACATTATCTTGTTCTAAAACAGCATCTTTCTCTTTTTTCTGTTCAAAGACATTACTTTCATCATTAATGAGTTGATTTTGAAAGTTGGGAATAATTTGTTCTTCTTCATGAATTAATTTATCTTTCTCTGTACATTTTTCATCAACACAATTATTAATTATATTATCAGATTGGTTATTTTCTAGAATACTCTCTTCTGTATTGTTTGAAACAATATGTGTAATATTAGTACTAGAATCTTTTTCTATATTTTCTATTTCATTACTTTGGCTTTCCAGTTGTTCATCATCTTCTTCTGTAGATTCTTCTTTGTTAATATATTCTAAATTGTTTTCAACTTCTTTTAACTCAAAGTCAGGTTCAACAACTTCATGTTTAAAACTTTCTTCTTTTTTTAAAGCTTCTAATGCAATTAATTCAACACAATTGTTTGTAGGTATTTCTCTTGTAACAGACACCATTGGAGAGACAAACCCACTGTCAAGTTCACTTGAACTGAACGTAGAAGTAGAATCATCATCTTCACTTAGTTCGATTTCATTAACAACAGCTAATTCATTTTCATTTATGTCTTTAATTTCTTCTATACCTTTAGGGATAATTCCGCTTTTAATTTGTTTCAATTCTTCAACAGTTTCTTCAACAACCTTTTTATCTCCAGTTAAATCAATAATCATCTCTTTATTCAAAGCTTCAATCTCTTTTCTTTTTTCATATAAATACACTAAATATATATTCATTGATAACTCTTCTTTTCCTAAATCTTCTTCATCAACTAACATCGGAACTCCTAATTTTTCTAATCGTTCTAATGGATGTTCTTGGCATTTTGATAATTTTCCAAGAATTGGAATAGTTGCCCATTCACGCATTGAACGAATTGGCTGTCCAACTAAAGTAGCTATCCATTGGTGTATTAGTCTCACTTCTTTAGAACTTAGTCCAATAAAACGATTTAAAATACCAGTGATCAATGCCAGAAATGTTTTTTCATTTCCCACAGATAAATCAAATCCATCAATACCAACAATTCTTACATTTAATGACTTTGCAAATTGAATAACACAATCAAACCCCTCAATTCTGGCAAAGTTTGTTTTTGGTATTTTTTCATATTTATATGGACATTTTGTTCCACTTAAATTTTCTAATAATTCTATTAAATTAACACTTGAAAGACTTGTAACGGAAACAACGCTTTCATTATTAACAAAATTAATCCATCGTATTAATGCTTTACTTTGAATTGTGCTCCAATTATTCATTTTTTGAATTTGTTAGTTTTCTTAATGTTTTTTTAGATTTCATTTGCTATCTATTTTTTTTTGAACAGAGACTCTCATCACTAAATTTTCAACTTTATTCATTCGAATATCATCAATAAAAAAGTTCTCAACAAATTTATCGTTTATTTTTATTTATCTAATAATTTTTTTATAAAATTAAAAAATGTACGATGGGATAATCGGAGTAGAAGCCATATTGTCTTCTCTCAGACAGCCACTCATTAATCTTGCGAGTTTTTAACTTAAAGAAACAACAGACATTTTCGTCTTCATTTCTGGTATGACACACGCTAATATAAAGAAGAAAATAATGAATGAAAGTAGAAAATAAAAAATAAATATATTATTATGGAATTTTTATTCGATAATTTTTCTATTAAAACTAATAATTAAAATAAAAGGGTTTTTACTAAAAATAAAAAACTATTCAAATATATTTTTATACTTGGTGTTGAATTACAATATATATAATACACGCCAGTTAATCTCATTTTGAAAGACTACTTTTTTTTAGTTCATTTGTATGGGATAATTGGAGGGCTATTATACATTTGAGTTATCTCAAGTTCTTCTGTGCAAAACTTAATATCTTCTTGTTTCTGAAGAAGTGCTTTTTTTCTTTTAATTCTTTCATTTTCAAAACTATTTTTATCGGGGAACAAACATAACACGTCTTCTTTCTTTCCATATAACAATTGTTGGTTTGGGATGTAGGGTTTGCAATTAAGTATCATGTGGTGATTCGCCATGTGGTAAAGTCGAATGATTTTTTAATTCTTAAACTAAATAATTGTTATATAATCAATTTTTGTTATTTTTGATAATTTTATTCTTATAACAAAAAACTATTATAATATTATAATAGAACTATAATAAATTTCTAAATAAATTAATCAAAAAAAAAAAAATTGAGTTGAGAAGAATAAACAAGAAGGAATTAAAAGAAGGAAGAAGCAATCAAAAGACAAATTAATTATGCATTTGGTTATATATTAAATAATTATATCGTATTATAAACTCAATTGATGTTTGTACCATAACTTTTTACTAATAAAGAAAGTACATGTTCTATCTTCTGTTATTTCAGAACAACTCATGAGATACTCCAACATGTATGTTATTTATATTTGTTCAAATGACAGTAGTTGATACTAGTCTTTAAATAAACTGCACCTTTTTCAAATTTCTTTATAACCTAATTCCCTGTATATTATTTTTTAGGAATAAAAGCTGTATTAAAAAGTTATGTACTTTCAAAATGAATGTAACATCAACATTTATAATTTTTGATAATTTTTGTTAATTATTAAGTTTTTCTTTTTTTTTCAAGTCAATACAATAGTCTAAATATAAATGAATATGAAATTTCATTTTAACACAAAAATAAACAATAACTTCATTTATTACTAACCATTATTCCTTGTTTATAAATATACTTTTTAAATAGGAATCATAACTGCTTCAAATTTGTTCATAAAGTGTCAAGTTATTATTTGTTCTATAATATATTTTTCATTTTTTAAATACAAAATGTCTTTATGAAAATCCTTTAAGAGACTTATAGCCAAACAAGACAGCTAACTAGAGATAATAACAGTTATTTTTGAGTTGAATTTAGAACTTATAACTTCATTTGATTGGTTTAGAGCAATTCTTAATTATAAAGACTTCAAGAATATTACAATTTTATAAACAGGTATTAGAAGATTAACCATAAGTCATGACTGTCTTATTAAATATTTAAAAATACAAATTACAACGAACAATTAAAAAGATTGATGTAAAATTTTAAATTATTATTTTTAGGTATTTCTATAAAAAATCAATATTTAATAATTTATCTTTTTTTATCGTTTATTTTTAGAAATAATGAAAATATTCTCATATTTTTGACGTTTTGAGTTATAATTTTATTCTATTCTTACTTTAAAAAATAAGGAAGAAGCAAATTTAATAATAAGAATATTCTTTTTACAGAAACTAAAACAAAAATTATATTCCTATGAAAAAATGCACTAATCAATACTCATTTGTGTTTTTATTAAATTTATGAAATAATCAAACAGTTGTCTAAAAACATTGGTAAATTCTATTATGACTGAGTTAGCTTAGAGTGTAGTGCTTCTTGATAAATAGTAAACTCAATGTTATTTGAAGAACACCATTGACTAATTTCATCGAGTGAATATTTGAGAACAAGTATTTCCCAAGAATCAAACATTACTATTCTTTTTGTAACTTTATTATTAAACATTTGCATCACAAATGGGTAGTCATTTTCATTTTTAGTCATACTCATTTCTTGTTTTACTTGAAGCAATAAGTTCTTAATTTCTCCAACAATCTTTTCTTGTATAATTCCATTGATTTTAAAATATTTTGTTTCTTCAACAATACAAGTCACTAACCTGTCGGCTAATACATTAGCAGTTATCTTACAACAGTTAGCAATAGAATTTTCTATCATAGATAATACTCCTTCAATTTCTCCAACAATCTTACCAATGACAATTACTTCCTTTAAGTTTAATGTGTCATTCCTTACTAATTCTTTTCTAAATTGAATTAAACATCCAAGCCAAAATACCTCATTCCCTTGACAATTTACTTTTTTAATTAGTTGACGACAAAGCTCTAAATTCATTTTATAAACACAATCTTCTTTTAAAATTTTTATCACTTCATCAAATCGTTTTTCCTTGACAGCAGTTTCCAATCGATACTTTTGTGAAATAAACATTTCTTTAGTCTTAGGAGTAATATCTTCATTTCTAATTTGATAAGTATCTCTGACAAGCATTTCTTTTAATAATAATTGGTCAGGGTCAATTTTTTTTGTCTTAAGAGGCAAGTCTTCTTTGCTCTCTTTTGTAATTTGTTCTGATTTAATGCCTTTGAGTTGATTCCAATATGTTTTGGTAACATTTCCTTCAACATTAACAATATCACCAGAAACAGTCCATACCCAATTTCCATTTTTATTAGTTATAATGATCTTTCCTTTGTAACTCTCATTAATGATACGGATGATTATTTTCATATGACCTCTTGAAATAATTTGAATCAATAATGCTGAAGTTTCAAATGAAGAACCAAAACAAAATCCTTTTATTGTTTGTTTTCCTTTATTCCATGGGCAAATTCCTTTTCTCCATTTAACACAACACTCATTTTTACATAATGTTTTAAAGTGTATTCTTCGAATACAAACCTCATATTTAGTATATAGCCCCATTCAGTTTAATATACCTGCTTCACTTTTTGAAGACTATAATTTCTTTTTCAATACTTTTTTGGTACTTTAATACCATTGTCTTTTCATTTCATTCTTTTTTGTGTTTGTCTTTTCTTATGACTTTATTTCATTTTTAAGTTACTAGACATAAAAATTATTTATTGTTAAAATAAATAAGAGTATTAAAAAGAACTTGAAAATTCTTCATCTTAAAAAGAAAGATAAGCAAACAATGATTTCAAAACTAAGTGAACTGTTAAAACCCAAAAACTCAAGTAGTTCCTTATTGGAAACACTAAAACTTCAACTTGACTTATTTTATAAAACAGTAGAAAATAAAAATGAAAATGGATATGTTTGTATTAACTGTACGCAAGTAGTATTTCTCAATACAATTTGTGCCCCACAAACTATAGACCCAACTCTTTCAATGATGTTATCTCAAATATCTAAATTATCAATTGGGGATGATGATGATAAGCCAAAAGAAATAGAAGGTACTATTTTAGAACTATCATTTCTTGAAAAGACAAATGTCTCTTCACTTGAAATAACAACAAAACAACCTTGGCATCTTCCAAATACTCTTCAATCTCGTTTAAAAGAACTTAAAGTTTGGAATATGACTAAGTCCCAATCAGATAATTTTTTCAATATACTCAAAAAACGAGAAGAAGTATGGGAGAATTTAGAAGTTCTAAAATTATCAAATTGTGAAATTACAAAAATCCCAGAAGATGTTTTTAGTGCATTAACAGTCCCACACCTCAAAATACTTGATTTATCAAAAAATCAAATTGCGGTATTAGAAAATATTAGAGAAAGACCAATGGATTTGATTGATGTGAGTACAAATGTAATAGAATTCATTGATATTCAATTTGTTGGTTCAATCTCACAATTAGTTATTGATAATAATTTATTAACCTCATTGGATGGATGTCGTCCATTTTTTAATCTTCAAAGATTAAGTGTAAGAAATAATTTGATTGAATCTTTTCAAAATATGAAACGTGCGTTCAGTAAACTTTTCTCATTGACAGATATTCATTTAGAAGGAAATCCTGTTGTAGAAGACGAACATTTCATTGATAAAATTGCAGAATTACTTCCTTCAAGCCAATTTGGAATAGACAGTTATGTAAATGGTAATAAGGTAGATTTAAATCCACATAAATATGTCAATACTTCTAATACAACAAAACCAAGTGATCAAAGTGTTCATGTTGAACGTAAAAATATTGGTCTTTCATTATTAGATGATGAAGCATTATTAGAAGTTATTAAAGAAAAAGTTGAATTATTTAGAAAAGGTAGTTGGGATTATACAGAGGACGAATATAAATCAAGTCGTAATTTCTTGAGAGAAGTAGGGGAAAAAATTAATCAAGCGTTAATTGAAACAGAATATTCATTAGTTCCTGATGTAGAAATATTTCCTTATTCTACTGTCAAAAAGGAGTTGTGTAGTTCATTACTTCAAACAGCGTACTGCAGAAAAGAAAAAAGATGTTTTGTACAAGTAAGTGGAGTAAATGAAAGTCAAATGGAGATGGTTGTAAAAATCCCTATTGTTTCATCAAATGCAATTCAAAAATCACTTCAACATGTTGTTCAGCTCTCAAACGATTTAGAAAATGAAGAAACAAGTATAGAATTAAATAATAATTTATTTGGTGTAGAAATAAATGTAGCAGAATTAGTTAGGAATGTTGAGAAAGAACGTAAAGAGTTAAAAGATTTAGAAACAAATAAAATTAAAGAAGAATTAGGATGGGAACCTCAGCAAGAAACAACTCAAGATAATTATCCAAACGAAAATGCTGAACAAACAATGGTTGAATAACACTTTATTTTTTTTTAGTAAACCTTTTTGTTTTATTATTTATGAGAAGAGAAAATGAAGAGAACTTACATTTAATAAAAATGAATAATTCTTTTAAGGAAGTAGTAAAACAAATGCATTTAAACAACGTTCAAACACTGAATGTTGAAATTACTAAAAACCTTGATTTACTTGTTCCTTTATTACAGTCTCTTGAGAAAGAAAAACAAAGGTACTTAGAAGATATTGGCTCACTTGCTGGGTTTAAAGTACCTCAAGTTCCAGAAGAAATAAAGAAATGGGTTAAAATGATGAAAGAAATAAAAAATACAAAAGAAGAACAAAAACAACAGAAACAACACCACAAAAAAGAAGTGAAAGGTTCTTTGGCTCAAAGAAAACAAATAACAACTCAAAAAGAAGTTGAAACATCATCAAAAACATCAACCAAACCAAAAAAATTACTTATAAATGATAATAAAGAAAAAATACAACATATTTGGAATGGAATTTTTAAAGAACAAGAAAGAAAAACCTCTCACCATCGTATAAATCAGAAAGATTTATTAAAACAAACAACTCCAAATATTCACAAAACAGAATCACCACAAAAAGGATTAAGTGAAAAATTACATCGTATCAAAGAACAAATAGAATATAGAGATTCAGAAGAAGACTCTAGTGAATTTGAAATTATTGACCGTCAGTCTTTACCATCTGCAAAAGTAAAATGTTCTCAACACCAAAAACTAAATGAACAAAAATTACAACCTCAAATTATTTTTCATGAAAAACAAAAACCAGTTTCAAGTTTAACAGAAGAAAAGGTGATTCATAGTAGAGAAGGAACATTATTAGATGATGAAGTGGTTGTTCCAACTTTTCCATCACAACCTATCCAACTAAGTCAATCAACATCTATGTTAAATCGTGGATTCGAAAGTGGACAATAAAAAAATCAATTCAATTTGGTTAGATGTAAAATGGTTTATTTTTTTTTATTGTAAATAAATAGCATAACTACTTTATTCCAATTGAATAGCAAAGAATTCACTAACTCTGAAATTTGGATGGTCAATAATTGTTTGACCATTGTCTTCATACTCTCTCTTGAAATTACCAGACAATCTACTTTCTTCGTTCTCTCCACAATTTCCACTAATCAAAAAAGCACCAGCAAAACAAAGAATATTCTCTGAATCATCAGGGAATAACCAAGTACTATATGAATTTATTTCTCTTTTAACAAACTTAATAGGGATATTGTCCTTTATAGTAAATACAAAATGGTCTTTATCTCCAAAAACTCCTCGTGCTATATCATCGACAACAGGAACATCACTACAATAACCTCCAAATACTTCATTTTTTGTTGTTTTTATAACAAATAATATATTCTTGTAACTTCCAACACATCTATTAAACTCTTCAGCACTAAAACCATCTTCAGTTCCTTTATAAATAACATCAATAACTTTCTTTGTACTAATCTGTTCTATTTGAGACTTTAATTCTTTGTCAAGTAATAATTCCTCTTCTAATTCATCTACTTCTATCTCTTTTTTTTCTTCATCTTTGGTTTGAGTTTCAGCAACTTCAGTGATAGGTGATGTTTTTTTTGAAACTTCATTTTCATTTGATTCATCTTTTTTAAATACAATCTCGTTATTAACATTCGTCTTACATTCTTCATTTTCTTTTTGTATTTTTTCAGGAATTTCATTTCCTTCTTTTTTTTCATTAATTGGCATTAAAGTATTTTTGTTTTGGTTTTTCATTTCTTCAAGATTACTAACAACATCTTTTAATATAGAATCTAAAAGAGAATACCGTTGATTCATTTTTTCAAGCTCATCACTTTTTTCTTTTATTTGTTTTTCCATTGTTTCTTTTAATGTTTTGTTCTCTTCTTCTAATTGAACTACCACAGTCTCTAACTGAGAAATACGCTGTTTTAAAGAATTAACCTCTGTTTGTGTCTCATCATCTTTTTGATTAATTGTTGTTATTGAGTCAATTAAATATTTGTCTGCAACAGCCCTATTGTCCATATACTTTTCAAAGACAAATTGTTTGAGCTCAATATTATGAATACTTTCCTCCATCTATTTTAACTAGTCCTTTTTTAGTTCATCTCTCAACTATTTTTTACCTTTTTGGATTATTTTTTTTTTTAAATTATCTCTTAAATTTTTTATTCTTTTTCACCTTTTAAATTATATTTCTTCTTATGATTTGTATTTAGTTTTTCATTTTTGCTTTTTGAATTATGAAATAAAAAAATTAAAAACAAAAAAAAAACTGGAATAAATAACGAGGGAGATTCAGAAAATAAAAATGAAAAGATATAACCCATGTGAATCTCCAGAATTTAATCAAAACGTAGATAATGATGATTCTGATCTTCCGGATTTTTTGAGGGAAGATAACTTTCCTGAACAAAGAAATACAGCAAGATTTCAATTACCTCAAAGTATTTTATTAAGTGGAATTTCAATAAAAAATGAACCTTATAATAATACAGAGTATTCAATGGAATCTCAAAGAGACATTTTAAAAGAAGAGAGATATGAAATTAAAGAAGATGATATACCTCTTCAGATGAATACTATTGCAGATGAAATAACTAATAGATTAGAAAATGTGATTGAAGACAATAAATATCCTGATCCTTTTGGTGAAGTTGTGTGGGAACTTCAAAAATGTGTTACACAAATTAAAGAAAATATGCCTAATATTCAGAAAGTTGATTATCGAAAATTAACTCAAACATTAAACGAAACATTATATCAATTATTCAAAAGGGTTGTTTCAGATAGTCTTTGTAACAATCGAATCGAATGCAGAGACCTTCAATGTTTTTTTTCATTATCAAAGGATATATCAAGATTTGAAATCTTTAATAGAGAAGAAGTAAACAAATTAAATGATCTTATTGCTAAAATTGAAGATATTACTCCTCAACCACAAGTAAATAATATTACAAACCAACAAGAACTTAGAAGTTATTTAAATGAATCTGGATTAAATACAACTCAAATTTTAATTCAAATTTGTGATCCTAAAGATGTAGGTAGTTTTATTAAAGCTCTTGGAGATCTTAAGATTATTTTTAGTGCATCAAAACATTCAAAAACAAATTATATTTCAATGATAAAAGAATTAAATGGTCTTGACGATGATAATGGAAGAAAATTTGCTACTCCATTTTTCTTACTCAAAAAAGCGTTTGAGTGTTGTGTTATTAAATCTCAATTTAGTTTGTTGTCTTTAATTATTTTACAAAATTATATCCTGTTACTAATATTAAATAGAAGCACTTGTTGAAGTCTTGTCTCAGGCTATTCTTAATATGGATTTCTTTACTGATGACCAAAGAGAACAAGTCGATAAAATGTTAAACCAAGCTGATTCCTTTAGAAAAAGTAAACCAGAATTATTAGGAAAAAAACTTCAATTAAAAAAAGATGAAGAAGTAATGAAATTTGGTTATGTAAGGGATTATATTGAACGTCACCCAGAACTTAGTTAAGTAATTGCATTGGTGTTTGACTACTTATTTATTTGAATAAATGTATTGTCTTTACTAATCAATATTAATTAATTTGATTATTCTTTTTATTATAAATTTATATTTTACTTGTCAAATAAAAAAT